GGTCAGGCCACTTCTGCCTAAAACATCCTCGCGACTCTGACTTTCGAGATGCCCTGCCCCATTCTGGTCCAGTCACTTCCCTTGAGACATCCTTGCAACTTTGGGTTCCGAGTTGCTCTGGGCTCAGGCAACTCTGACATCGGAGATGCCCTACCCCGTGATAGGCTGGCCACTTTCGGCTGAGACATCTTGGCAACTCTGGATTCCGAGATGCCCTGAGCTCATCTGATCAGGCCTTTTTCGCCTGAGACATCCTCGCAACTCTGATCACGGAGATGCCCGGCAACATGGTGGTCTGGCCGCTTACCCTTGAGACATCCTCGCAATTTTGGGTGCCGAGATTCCCTGAACCGAGGTGACCAGGCCACTTTCACCTGAGCTATCTCCGGAATTCTGCCTTCCGAGATGCCCTGCCCCATGATTACCAAGCCTTTTTCGCCTGAGACATCCTCGCAACTCTGGGTTCCGAGATGCCCTGAGCTCAGGTGGTGAGGCCACCCCGCCTGAGACATCCTCGCAACTCTGACTTCGGAACTGTCCAGCTCCGAGATGTCCTAAGCTGAGGTGGTCAGGCCATTTTCGCCTGAGACGTCTTCACAACTCTAATATCAGGAATGCCATGAGCTGAGGTGGTCAAGCCACTTTCGGCTGAGACATCCTTGCGTGATACATAATCCGAGCGCTTCCTACATCACTTTTTTCGATTGGTGATGTCGCCCGCCGCGTCCCTTATTTGGGTATGTTGTTGCCGCTCGAACGCCAGCCACATCCGCTTCCGTCGTGTTCCTTGCTTTTCCCTCATTCCCCTCATCTGTCTTGGTGTCCTCCCCATTTGTAAGTCAGGCCCCCATCCGAATCTTCGACTCTGCGGCATGTGCGGGCATGTGCGTTTACATTTTCAGAGTTCGCCCGGACTGTGCATCCGACCGTGCATCGGACTATGTGGCATGTGCGCACATTTGCGACACGGTTGTTGAGATTTTGCAGGGTTGCATTGGCATGAGCATGCGATTGCTCGACATGTGCGTGCATGTGCGGCCCCTTGCTGACCTCAGGACAAACGTGGGCACTGTAGAAATAAACTAGAACAATGAGTTTGTTGTACCAAGGGCTTACCACAGGTTACCATGGCTTAGCAGCGCTTACCAAGGCTGAGCAAGACTCAGCTCGTTTTAGCAAGGCCTAGCTGTGCTTAGCAGAGGCCGCCAGGGAGTAGCAAAACTTAGTATGGCTTAGCAGGGTCTACCAAGGCTTAGCTAGGCTGAGCAACATTTCGTTTACCAGGGCTTAGCATGGCTCAGCAGGGCATAGCAAGGTTCACAAGGCCATAACAGGGCTCGTCTGGGCTTAGCAAGGCATAAGAGTGCTTCGCAGGGTGAAGCAATGCTCCGCATGGCGGAAGGTTTCGAAATGGTAGGCAGAGCTCAGCGAAGCTTGCCAAGGCTGATCAACGGTCAGGAAGGCTTAGCAGGCGATGTCAAGGCTTACCAAGCGTAGCTGGGCCTAGCAAGGCTTACCACGCTTGACTGGGCTTAGCAGAGCCTACAGGGCATGACAACGCTGACCAGAGCTTCCCAAGCCCTGCCGGGCGTGCCAGGATTTGAAGGGCTTACCTGAGCTTGTCAGGTCTCAGCAGTGCTGAGTGTGCTCAGTAGGGTTCAGCAAGGTTTACAAGACCTTCGCAGGGTTTACCAAGGCGTCGCAAGGATTACCAGGTCTCAGAAAGGCCTAACAAGGCCCAGCACAGCTCAGCAGTTCTTGAGGCTTCGCGAGGGTTTTAGCAAGGCTTAGCAAGGCTTGTCACGGCTGAGCAAGGTTCAGCAAGGCTTAACAGGGCTTAGCAAGGCTTACCAACCATACCAGGGCTTAGCAGCGCTTAACAGCTTAACAGGGCATAGCAAAGCTTACAAAAGCTCAGCAGGGCGTACCAGGGCTTGACAAGGCTTGGAAGAGCTTACCAGGGCTGAGCAGAGCGTGGCAAGGGCTATCCAGAGTTAGGGGCTGACCAGGGTTTACCAGGGCTGAGCAAGGCTGGGCAAACCTTAGCAGGGCTTCGCAGGGTTAAGCAGGGCTGACCAAGGCCTACCAGAGCGTTGCAGGGATCACCAGATCGTTGGAGAGATTCGCAAGTCTGGGCATGGCTTAGCAAAACTTATGGGCTCACCAGGGGTTACCAAAGGTTAGTACGGTGTAGCAAATATTGCCAAGGGTTTACCATGGTTTACCAGGTTTGAGTAGGCAAAGATGGTAAACTAGTGGTAGGCTGACTTGATTGGTGAAGATGCTGGCAAACTGACGGCATGGCTTAAGGGGGTGATGTGAGAGAGAGAGAGAAGGTTAATGATGAAGAGAGGGAAAAAGGCGATGATACATTTTCTTGAATACAGAGGTACTCCATAATCCCCCGGACTTGAGTCGGAGTCGGAGTCGTCGGAGTCGGAGTCGGAGTCGTCGGCATTGTCGTTGGAGTCGGAGATGGAGTCGGAGTCGGAGTCGGAGTTCAAGTTGGAGTTCAAGTCGGAGTTCAAGTCGGAGTCGTCGTCCGATTCGTCGGAGTCGTCGTCGTCGTCGTCTCAGTCGTCTCAGTCGTCTCAGTCGTCGTCGTCATCGTCTTCGTCTTTGTCGTCGGAGTCGTAGTCGTCGTCGGAGTCGTAGTCGGAGTCGGAGTCGTCGGGGGGGCCGGAATCATCGCCGTCGTCGGAATCCGAGTCGGGAGTCGGAGTTGGAGCTGCAGCCGGAGTCGGAGCTGGAGTCGTAGTCGTAATGGGAGTTGTCGTCGTCGTCGGTGTCGGAGTCTCGTCGGAGTCGTTGGAGCCGTTGAAGTCGTCGGAGTCCTCGGAGTTGTCGAAGCCGTCGGAGTCGTCGGACTTCTCGGAGTTGTTGGAGTCGTCGTCGTTTGAATATTCGTCGTCGTTGTCTGAGTCATCGGAGTCGTCTCAGTCGTCTCAGTCGTGGTCGTCGTCGTCGTGATCGTCATCGTCGCCGTGGTCGTCGTCGGAGTCGCCTCCTCACCCCCCGAAGGGCCGTTGCATGCTGACTTCGTCGCGTGCGTCACTACAGACCGCCATCAGCATCACCATCATGACGATCACCCCCGCCATCATCACCCTCGTGCTCACCATCGCCTTTATCACCACCATCGTCATCATCATGTTCAGCAGCAGCAGCAGCATCATCATCATCATCACCATCATCGCTATCATCATCATCATCGTCCTCATCATCAGCAGCATCAGCATCAGTATCATCATCAGCAGCAGCATCATCATCACAATCATCACTCTTATCATCATCAGCAGCAGCATTAGCATCATCAGCATCATCAGCATCAGCATCATCATCAGCAGCAGCATCGTCATCATCAACAGCATCAGCACCATCGTCATCATCATCACACTCATCATAAGCATCGTCAGCATCACCACCATCACCATCGTCATCGTCATCATCATCATCATCATCAGCAGCATCATCATCAGCATCTCATCATCACCAGCATCGCCATCATCAACACCATCATGAGGATAAATACGGAGATCATAACGCACTCCGAACCTGCATGCAAGGAGGTTTCGAACGCAGTTCGAACCCGTACGCATGCAGGTTTAACTTACTTCGAGTAAGTTCAATTTGGTTGAATTGGCTCGTGTCGGGAGAGGCGCGCGCAAGAGGGCCATTCCTTTGGCCAGCCCAGTCAGTGCGACCATCTGCCTGCGGCAGCTCCAGGCAGATATTCTGCTTCACAGTCAAATCGCATGGTAATGATCGACTTTCCAAGGCTTCCCTTGCATCCTTGCCCCTTCGGCCCACGCCCGGCGATTTTCGCTGACCAGCCGCGTTCGAGAATGTAAACGTGGCCCTCCAAGGCCCTTGCATCCTTAGCGCGTCTTTATTATTCGACTTGACTGTGCTGCGGCCTGCCAGAGTCTGATATCTGCTCTCGGTGCCTGAGCGCGCGTGGCGGCGCTCTCGCCAGTGCTTCTAGGAGAAAAGTGAACTTCCGGAACTCCGACTCGGAGTTCTCGAGCGGTTCCGCATCTGGGGGCCCTCCACTTCAGCTGCGGCGGGGCGCTGCGCCTTCAGGCGACCGCTCCTTAGAGGAGGAGCGGATACCGGCACCGCTGCTCGTCTTGGAGAGCCCACGCTACCACGGCTGGATTCTCCTCGAAACCTTCGTCAGAGCGCACCCCGGGAGAGGTTTGGGGAGTAGCGGTATGGTACATTCCTATCCTCCTCACCTTTGAGGCCGCTCTCTCCTCATCACCATCTGTCCCTCCCTTGGGAGCCTGCAGTACGAGCGCGCCCGCTCTTGCCGGTCCTCCCTCTCGTTCTGCTGTCCTCCCGCCCTCCTGCGCCTCGCTTCGACCTCAGCACGGCGCCACAGCGCCCACATGCCAGGCCCTCCACGGCCCATGCGTGGGAAGACCGTTGCCCGTTGACCTGCTCTTCTGGGTGGGGCAGTTCGAGGTCGGCCCGGCGGGACCTCGCTCCCCGAGTGTCCTGCGCCCAGATACTCGAGGCTCACTCCGCCCTATCCATCCATCCATCCATCCGCCCTGACACAAGGGCCGCTACGAGGGCGCAAATTGATTCGCGATTCGCGATTCCTCCTCCTCCTCCTCCTTTTCCCCTTCCTACTCTTCTTCTTCCCCGAGGTGGTGGCGACAGAGCGCGAAGTTATTCGCGGAGCGCGAACTTAGCTGTGCTTGCTGACGTCTTCGCGGCGTGAGACACCACGACTGGAGGTGCCTGGTAATTTTCGGATTATGTGGGGGCCCTTACGGGGACCTGGGGCCGTCACAAAACGACTCAGAATTAAAAGACTGTCCGCGGGAAGAGGTCCAGCATCTCTGGGGAGCCATGTCGTGAACATTTTCGGCACCGGATGACAAGGCTTCTCTTCCAGCTAGTTCCGCATGTGTTTAGCCGTTTTGGCTGAAGGAAACGTGCGTCGCCGCGCGGCCCACTCCTGCCCCTTGCGCCGGTCAAGTACAGCTGCCATGGCGAAGGACGGTGCTTCCATGCAGGCCTTCATGCTCGACTTCGTGCTCGGCGGCTTCTCGGGGGCGGTGGCGAAGACGATCACGGCACCGATCGAGCGCATCAAGCTTGTGGTGCAGACGCAGGATGCGAACCCGAAGATCCGGAGCGGCGAGGTGCCGCGCTACAAGGGCATCGTCGACTGCGGCCAGCGCATTATCAAGGAGCAGGGCTTCAGGCGCTTTTGGGACGGAAACTTCACGAACTGCATCCGCTATTTCCCGACGCAGGCTTTCAACCTGGCGTTCAAGGACACGTTCAAGAGGATGTTCCCGAAGTACAACCCCAAGACCGAGTTCCCGATGTTCTTCGCCGCCAACCTGGTCTCGGGAGGGATGGCCGCGGCGGGGAGCCTCACCATCGTCTACCCGCTGGACTACGCGCGGACCCGGCTGGCCTCCGACGTAGGCTCTGGCAAGAAGACCTTCACGGGCCTCGGCGATTGCATCGTGAAGACGATGAAGGGGCCTGGCGGGTTCGGGGCGCTTTACACGGGCTTCGGCGTGTCCGTGGTGGGCATCGTGGGGTACCGCGGCTTGCAGCTGGGGACCTTCGACACCATCGTCGGCCTGAACCCCTACAAGAAGGACATCAGAGGAGGAGGAGGAGGAGGAGGAGAAGGTACCGATGCCGCTGTCCTTATCTCGCCGCCACGGCAGGATGCGCCCCGAGATCCTGGTCAGAAGAACGCACCACAGGGGAGATCCGTGGAGTATCGAATAACAAAACACTGCATGAACATGCGTTTGGAGGTCCGCACGGATTTCTTGGATTGGTGCTGGGCCTTCCCTGGCGGCGCCGCCAGGGAGGGGTGCCCAGCGCAGATGCTCCGACAGTTTATGTTTGTGCAGTTTTTTGTCGTTCTCACCAGAGGAGAGGTCCGTGCCCCCCGCAGGACAAGGGCTTCATGGGCGCCCTGACCACGTTCGTCGCGGCGCAGACCGCCATCACCATCGGCGCGGGCGCCACGTACCCCTTCGACACCATCCGCCGCCGCCTGCAGATGCAGTCCGAGAAGCCCGTGGAGGAGCACCTCTACAAGGTCGAAGAAGAACAATATGCATACACATAAACTTTCTGCGCTCCGCGCGGATTTCTCGGATCGGCTCTGGGCCCCCCTGGCGGCGCCTCGGGCGCCGCCCTTGGCGCGCTCCCGCTGCCAGCACCGATTTAAGAAATCCGCGCAGAGCTCCAAGTTAATGTTTATGCAGTTTCTTATGCGTACACAAGGGGACGATGGACTGCTTCAAGAAAATCGCGTCCGAGGAGGGCTTGGCCAAGGGCCTCTACAAGGGGTTCCTGGCCAACGTCGTGCGCAGCGTCGGCGGCGCCCTGGTGCTGGTCTTCTACGACCGCGCCAAGATGTACCTGGGCATCTGAGCTGCTCCTCGACGGCGTCGAGATCTGCCCGACAATCCGATGCATGTCGGGGTCGGGCGGCCAGGCTGAACTTTCTTACCAGGGGTTCGTGCAGAGGGAGGTGGGGCCAAGGTATCGTTTGGGAATGAGCCCGGCTCGAGGCTCACATCTTCTTCTTCCAAGGGCCGTTGAGCGCGAATCTCTTCCAACCCGCCCTCCGGCCCTGCCCCCCCCTGACGACCCCCTGACCGTATATCGCTGCCACGGCCTCGCATTGAAGGACAGCTCTTTGGGATCCACAATTTTGGGCGCGCGCTCCCAGTGACTCCCTGCCACGTCGGTACGTCCGGGGCAACGCACCCACGCGTTGGCATGGGACCAGGGACTTGTTTTCCAGACTTGCGCGCCGTGGATTTCGCTGTTGGATCTTCCTGCTTCAGTATCGGTGAACCGATCCCCATCCCCATCCCGAGCCCCACCATCCCACCATTCCAGTTGGGGATCTGCCCCTCGAAACACGAAGGGAACAGCCTACACCCCATTCTAGGGGGGTGGATCGGCCAGTGGGGCCCAGGCCACGCCCGTGGGGATAGGCATCTATTCGCCGATGCTCATCCGTGCGGATGTCCGGGCCCGGCCTGGAAGCAGATCCGAGCTGTGGCATCCGTCTTGCTGCTGGACGTTCGGTCGAAAGGGAGCGCAGCAGCCACCAACATGAGTCCAGGGCGTCGGAGGCCTGGGTCCCGTCCCAGCGCCAAAGGCGGGGGAGAGGAGGAGCAGCAGGGCGAGGAGCTCGAGTAGTAGATCGACAACATAATCGATTCTCCCCAAAATCGTTTCTTGGCCGGATCTACGAATATTTACGTATAATGTTCATTGGTCTACGAACATTCGAGGTATTTCTCGTGGACTCGGGGGAACATAGTTCTGGGGTCAATCAATTATGTCGTCGACCTCTTACTGAAAGCAGGACGCCGAGAACGAGGAATCAGGAGCCAAAAAAGGACGCACACGTACCACGTACATGCAGCGACGTCAGTTTCGAGAGTGCGCCTTGCGCGAGCGTGCGTGCCACGGAGCCAGTATCGCAGTTAGGACATGGTTGGGCGCGTGCGTCTTTTATCGGCTCCCTACTGGAGGGCGAGGAGTAAATGGACGAGGGAAGTAGGCACTGAGTTACGCGCTCTGTTCTTGTGCAAGCATCTTCTGGAACGATGTTCGTGCGCGGATCCACACATGTTTTGCCACCCACCCTCCCTCCCTCCTCGTACTTCCCTGCCTCCCTCTCAGCGGTCATTATTCTTCCCCCCTCCCTCCGCTTTTGTCCTCCCTCCCCCTTCCCTTCCCTCAGCACCCCTTCGTTTCCATCTCTCCCGCCCTCCCTGTCCCCGAGCCCCCTCCCTCCTCTGGGTCCCCACCAACATCCTGTCAAAACCTTTGCCCAGACTCCGAAAGGGGGCCATCCTGGCCAGATGCTCATCCTGAGCAGTAACTTGTGTGACAGTTCTTGGGGCCCGAAATGATTGGGCGCGACTTCTTCTATCCTCCACCTCCCTGCTCCCGACTCGATCCTACCGAATGAATCCCCCAGACCCATCCAGGGGTGCGTTAAGACCAGAATTCAGAGGAGGATCCAGCCGTGGCGACGAGAAGCCTCCAGGTGGCCCTCCAAGCGTGCAAATCTTCCAAACCTTGTCCCTCCTCACCCTCCTCCCCCGCAACCCTCGAGACTCGATACGCCAGAGCCGTCCCAGGGTGCGCCCTGGCCAGTGTTTCGTGAAGAATCTGGCCGTGGCGACGAAAAGCCCCCCAGAGGCCCAACACGCGCAACACGCAACAGCATCCTAACCTACGGAAGCAATTAAGACCCTTCTTTGGGGTTACCGACCATTCCCCAGAAAATAATGTGTCCAGGGAGGGGAGGTAGAAGAGATATTCAATCAGCATCGAAAGCGTAAGTGTGGGAAAATAATCCTTCTGGACTTGTGTTGTCATCCGATTGGAATCCGTTTGGGGTCCGATTGGGATACAAAGGAAATCCAAAGGAATTCTACGGGTCCTGAGGCATCATGCTGGAAGGCCAAAGGCATGTTAAGGAATATTGAGGTATCCAAAAGGATTCCTGACCCGACGGACACCCAAAGGAATCCACAGGCTCTCCATTCATCGTACGAGATTTGCACTGCAAGCCGAATACTGAAATTAAGGCCGTGATGTCTTACCATGGGGTAGTGCACGCTGGGATGCCGACCCCAGACCGCACAGCTCGTTACTCGAGTACAGAGGCACAACTTACAATTGATCATTCCCGCTCGTGGACGCAGGAATTAATCCGAATGGAATCCAATTGGAGCCCTACTCGAGCCCTATTGGGATCGTTTTGGGGCCCCATTGGGATCCAATCGGGATCCTACTGGGGTCACACTGGGATCCTAGGGCAGTCGGATTGACATCCCATTGAAACTCTTTTGGAAACTTAATGGAATCATGTTGGATTTCCAGAGGCATCCTGTTGGGATAAGATTGGGATCCCTCGGGGATCCTTTTGGGGCCCTCGGACCCTCAGGTATTCTCATTGGAATGCGATTGAAATCCCACCAGAATCCAATTGAGATCGTTTGGGGGTTCTGTTTCGGGGAAACGTAAGACTCGAGTATGCCGAAACTCGGGTTTGCCGACGCTTTTTGACGAGCGCGTCTTGGATTTTGACGGTCCAGTGTTCGTGGGATGTTTGCGGCGGGAGCGCGTCAAATTCCAAATTGGGTCTCGTCGTTTCCATGATGGGCCCGTCAGGCCAACCCGCGTCTCCCGAACCCAAGTCTTACGCCTTCCCGACTATTGGGGTCACACTCGGGTCTTGAGGGAACCTGTTTGGGTCCTGTTGGAATTTGATTGGAATCCGACTGGGATCCACTTATAATCATATTGCGACCCGACCGGCATCCTGCTACAGTCCTCTTGGGATCCTTCTGGAACCTGGTTGGGATCCTACTGGAATCCTACCAGGGTCATGTGGGCCCCCCAGGAACATGAGAAGACATCCTACAGAACCTGACGCAAGTCTCGAACATGCATATCAAGGCATCATACGTGAGTCTGTTGGGCAAACTCACATGTTCCTCAGGAATTCGACTGGAAGCTCCAATGCAGATTTAAATGCATCCATATGAGCCCCTAACGCACTCGAAGGACCCCTACGGACACCTTAGGAACAACTCAAGAATCCTCATCACTTTTGTCGCATCAGATTTGCATTGCAAGCCCTGTTGGGAATTTCGATGTGTGGCCTTCGCATGGGGTAGCGCGCGCCCGCATATAGCCCCCGAGCCGCACCGCACGTTAGACCCGCATAATGTAGCAAAATAGGTAACCCGCACGCGTGGGCGCGGGAAACAATCCAATTGAAATCCAACTTTCATCCAACAGTCCAATTCGCATCTGATTACGGTTCTATGAGATCCAATGGCATTATGCTTGTAATCCGATTGAACCCTCGAGCAATCCGATTGCTGCCATATTGGGATTCTGAATGATCCTATGGGGATCCAAAGTGAATCCTGTCGGACTTCAATCCGAATCTCAGCTGGGAGCCTGATGGAATCCGATTGGAATCTTACTGGGGTCATGTTGGGATCCTATTCGGATCCCATTCGGGTCCTACTGGGATCCAATTGGAGGAGGACGAGGAGGAGAAGGAGGAGTGGGGGCGCCTGGTGCCAGGGCAGCGCTTCCAGGGTGCCGGATGCGCTACGGTTTCTGAGGATGTTTTTTTCCCTACCCAGGCTTTGCCTAGAGGGTTCTTACTTGGTTTGCTTAAAGGGGCCGGGCAGTGTAAAACGCCCAGGGCGGTTTCCCCAGTCCCCGCCCCGCGGTTCCCCCAGTTGCGCCCCTTGGGTTCCCCTAGCTTAGCTTAGCTTAGTTTAGCTTAGCTTAGTTTAGCTTACCTCAGCTTAGCTCAGCTTAGCTTAGCTTTGCCTATCTCATCTTAGCTTAGCTTAGCTTAGCTTTGCCTAGCTTAGCTTAGCTTAGCTTAGCTCAGCTTACCTCATCTTAGGTTAGCTTAGTTTAGCTTAGCTTGGCTTGGCTTGGCTTGGCTTGGCTTAGCTTAGCTTTAGCCTAGCTTAGCGTAGCTTAGCTTAGCATAGCTTAGCTTACCGTAGCTTAGCGCAGCGCAGCGCAGCATAGCGCAGCGCAGCATTAGCACAGCATAGCATAGCATAGCATAGCCAAGCATGGCATAGCATAGCATAGCTCAACATAGCATAGCATAGCATAGCATCGCGCAGCATAATATCGCATAGCATAGCACAGCATTGCCTAGCATAGCACAGCGCAGCATAGCATACCATAACACACTATATCATAGCATAGCATAGCATAGCATAGCGCAGCATAGCATAGCATAGCACAGCATAGCATAGCATAGCGCAGCATGCCATATCATAGCATAGCCTAGCATAGCATAGCATAGCGCAGCATAGCATACCATATCATAGCATAGCAACGCAAATGCAATGCACAACAAACGCACAACCAATGCGACATTGTATATGTAGATGTCGATGTAGGTGTAGGTGTAGATGTGGATGTAGGTGTAGATGTAGATGTAGATGTAGATGTAGATGTAGGTGTTGATGCAGGTGTATATGTAGATGTAGATGTGAGTCTCGCTGTTGATGTTGATGTAGATGTAGACGCAGGTGTAGATGTAGATGTTGCTTTCCTAAATGCTCCAACTCCTAGGTAGGGTCGCACTGGGATAATTGTTTTGGATGAGGGGGTGGCTGAGGAGGTTCCTAGTTGTTTCCTTCGGTTAATCCTCAATCCTCGCATCTCGCCTTTGGCCTCTTCGTCAGGGACCTCGTCCTCAGAAGCCGCCTGGAGACATACGGGGCAACACGCCCATACATACCGAATTTTGATCTTCGAAGTTCGTGTTTGGCACGCCCGTCGTCCTCTCCTCCGACGTGATTTTTTCCAGCGGGGACCCCCAGAGGTCTGAACCCCTTCCGCAGGGCCAG